TCCCCAGCTCGGGCCTGTTGATGCGTCCCTCCCCGCTGTGGCTGCTGGAGGTGTGTGGGAGGCTGTAACACAGGAAAGAGATGTCCAGAAGGTCCACGTTGTCACCGTGTCGGCTGGTGAAGTCCTCACCGCTCAGCTGCCCCGAGGGGCCGGGTCCCCTGCACAGAAGTTTGGGACTGTCCCTGAACGGGAGAGTCGTGTCTCCCTCCGGCTCATCGTCCGTACCCGTGCTCTGCTCAGTGACTCCTTCCAAGTGAATGACACAGGGGTAAGAAGAGCGATCCAGGCTGGCCGAAGGTGTGGAGGTCACCTGGGCAGAGGGAGAAGCAGCACCGAGGCGAACAGCTAACTCACCGCCTTCCTCGCTGGGGCTGAGGGTGGCCTGCTCGTGTACCGCGCTCTCTGGCAGCGAGAGATTTACTAGTGTCGGAGCTCGGAGACAGGTCGGTGCCTTCTCCAAGCACACCGAAGGGTTCAAGTTTTCATCCAAAGAAGTGATGGCCGCAGCCAGCCCGCCCTGCTCCCAGCTTGCGTCGAGGCGCTCTGCACACTTGGCTGTGGGAGGGGATTCGATGATCTCGATTCTCTTTGCGAGGAGGGAGGGCTCCTCCCTGCCATCAAAGGAGACCACTGTCCTGTGCTCTTGCACCGTTCCCTCCTGCCCCGGGCTGGGCTCTGCAGGCAGAGACTCCCGTGCCAGAGGGGTGAGGGGTACAGGGAGGTTTCTGCCTCCCGGTAGCTCTGCCCTGGGAGGCAGCATCAGCAGCTCCTCAGCACCTGGACCCTGTGCTTTGTCACCCTCTGGAGCCAGCTCCAGGGGCGGCTCCTCACTCTTCCCCCGCGGCAGGAGCTCGGCAGCAGAAGAATCGTTTCTGGAGTTCTTGCGGGTGGGTAAGACGCAGACCGGGGTCGGGTGCTGGTGCTCCTGCTCCTGTCTCAAGCGCTCTTCGAACTCCAGGGTGGCTCGCCGGACGGAGCCTGGGCACCACTTGGGCTCAGGGTTGACAGAGCCACGAGGCTCTTGCTGCTCCCCACCAACGCTGATTTCCTCCAGGTCTGATTTACCTGAAGATGGGTGCATGGAGGGGGCAGTTTCTTGCTCAGCTTGCAGAGGATCCTTCTCCTTTTCCTGGTGTCCAGCACAGGTTCCTTCACTCTGTTCCACCGTTTCTGATGCCCAAATCGCCTCCACTGGCAGGTCGTGCACCGTGTTCCTCTTTGGTGTCTGCGTGAGGCTGGCTGAACCCTCTTTCTGCTGGGCAGGTCCTGCTCCCTGGTTGATGGACTCGATCTCTGTGATAATTTCCTTCACAGAAATGGCATTTTCCGAGTGGGATCTCGTGAGATGGCCTGTGCAGGGCAGCTCCGGGACCTCCTGCAACACAGAAACAGGAGAATTACCAAGTGGATCAGCTGTGCTGACACAGCAAACAGCAGCAGCTTCAAGGAAATGGGGGTGCACATCCCCAAAGGAACAAAAAGCGCACGTGTCAGTGTGTAGAGATGGGCTATAAGTGATCACTAACCTAAAAGCATTATTATATTTAACATCTTCCAGGCTGGGTTTGCCTCTAGACCGAGATTTAAGAACTCTTACTTAATCGCCACAAATTCCAAGAGAAATTCAGTCTTTGTTTGTTTGGGGTTTTTTTAAAATAAAGAAAAGTCCAGTTAACAAAAAAATTCCTGGTGCTGCTAGAAGTGCAGTTTTGAACTGAAAACTTGAAAGATTCTGCTCACGTACCGAAGCAAGCAGCAGTACAGCATAAAGAATGACTGAACGGTGAAATGCTCTGGTTTCCCGGAGGAAAATGGCCAGAGAGGCTCACCCATCCGCACAGACGCTCTTTCTGCCAAATCACTGGGGAGAGCGTTGGCCTATTATATTTGGAAGAGACTTATTGCCTCACATGGAGATGGAAAAGATTCAAGCAATGCAGCGTGGAATTTAAATAAGAGAGGCTCCTAGAAAATGATGGCCCCGGACACCATCAATCCATGTGAGAGTCCTGGAGGGTGGAAAGCAATTATAAGAGAAAGGTACCTCCATTCAGAGGTTACTAAATTTTGTCAGGAACATCTCTCTACCCAGGAGAGAAGCGAGGCATGACGTGCCTGATCCCATCACCCCAGGCAGGCTCATTCTCTTACTCCAGCAGAGGAAGCTCTACATCTGCCTTGATTTACTATCTCAACCAGGGCAAGGTGCCAGTTTTGTCCCATTCTTTGGTGGATCTCTCAAGTCAGAGAAATATCTGGGCAGGTTCGGGATGCTGGCTGGCCTCGCCTGCTCAGGGTTCAGCTGCAGGTCAAGTCCCACCTACCTGCTCTCCTAATGCAAAACTCAAAAATAAGTTTCTCACGAGAACAGTACAGGAGAGGTGAGGTCAAGGTCAACTCAGCCAGTGCCCTTCCACTGCCAGCAAACAGATGTTTAAGGAAAAAAAACGCAGAAAAGGGCAAGTATCTAAAAGCAAAGAAAAGAGGAAGCATCTAGCAATCCCCCCCGCAAACCCTCTTCACTGAGAGCCGGGAGCAGAAAATCCCCCGCCCACCCACAGAGAGCCTGGAGCAGCAGTCCCTAAAAAGACGGGCAAGTTATTTAACCTTTTGTTGTTCTTCATCTGTAGAAGAGTCATCTGTTGCCTGAGGAGTGGTTCCAGAGCTGTTCCTTTGAGCATCTGCACTCCCGTCCACGCTTCCAGACGGTGCTTCCAGCACAGGCACCTTGGAGGCCCCGTTCCTTCCACTCGCCTGCTCCTCCGCCCTGGAATGGGAGCAGGTGCGTGACCGGCTCTCCTGGGAAAGCTCCACGAATTTCTCCAGAGCGCTGAAGAAATCAATCCTATCCGTGCTGAGGTCTGTCACTTCGGGCTGGGGATTCTGTTGGAGACTTGGGGAGTTTTGGTTTGGGGATTGGGGAAAGTCTTTTAAGCACGAAGTGAATTCTTCCATGGGAACCAAGTGCACGTTCATATCGGGCTTAAGGGCATCTTTTTCTAGATCATCCACTGTCAGATCAGGAAACTCAGTTATTTCCAAGGGGTGCTGGAGTTGCATTAAGGCCTCAGAAGCACGGCAGTTATCAGGGGGGACAGAGTCCACGCAACATCCTGCTGTACAGCCGTTGAGATTGTTCAGGTTCAGCTTGTCCTCCATCTGCTCAGCGTGGAAATCTCGACACGTAAAGTCCAGGTGGATCCTTCTCTCCTTCTCACAGGTCTCCTCGATCATGTTTGCATCCTCTGCGAGCTGCTGCTCCCTCTCTGGGTCAGTGGAGTAGATGGGAGACATGGGCTGCTGGTTGTCGTTGGTTTTCGCCTCCGAGATCTGGTCGGCCGAGGTGGTGATCTCCTTCTTGTTCAGCTCCAGCCCAGCCTTGCAGATGGGCTCATGGTGGTCCGAGAGGTCGCTGTCTGAGTGCGAGCGCCACAGTTTGTTATGTCGCTGTTTGCTGCGGGGAAGAAAAGCAAATGAAAACATTGAGTAGTGTTCTCACCTACCAGAGCCAGACCCGCCTTGGTCAGAGGATGCAGCCTACATGAGAATCCGTGCCAAATATCGGAGTCACCGACCACAGCTGCAGCTTCACCTGAACAGTTCAGGGCCAAACATGCTGCTGGAGAGGCTGATCCCCTCTCCAGCAGCTAAATCCCATGGCACTGTTCTGCTCCACACACCATATCCCCCAGAACTATTTATCAGTCTACTCAACAAAAGTTTAATTGACCACAGAACTCGTTCCTTTCCCAGCAAGCAGTTTTGCATTTGCTAGCAGGTGAGCAATGGCCAGAAGAGACAAAATCCTTAGTCCTGGATGTGAATGGATGGTGGACACTGAATGAAGTCCAATTTCCCTTGTGGCTCCTTCCTCGAATAGCTTCAGTGATCAACAACCAGGCGCTGGTAACCACGGGGGTAGGGGTGGGGTGAGCGGACGGCGGGGTGTGTAAACACAAGACATCCTGAACAGTCAACACGTAGCCCAAAAAACACCACCTGCCTTTCACAGGAAGAAAGCTCAAGCGTTCTCCAGCTCTTGGAAAGTCCCTTTAGGAAGGTGTGAGCAGCCAGAAGGCCAAGCAATTGCCAGCAGCATTATACCACCTTCCTTATCTCCACCTGCCAAAAAGCCCAGCCCATATCCCCAGGTTTGGAGAGTGCAAAAGGAGGCAAGTTCTGGCAGTGAAACCGCAGCGGCCAGCCATGTCTGCAAGGGCTTTGCGAGTGACCACGGCCACAGGGCTGTGCTTCCACCCTTTGCCCCTAGGAGGAGAGCAGATACCACAGAAAGGTCCTTGGATCTGCAGGAGACCTTTAAAACCTCTCCAGTCCCTTGGCAGTGTGAACAGCTGCTCCCAGACACATCCACTGACCCCACTACATTAATTAAGAGATGCTATTGAACTAATTACTATGTAACACTTCAGCTGTGGGTGCCCAACAACTAAGGAAAATAATCTAGATTTAGCTTTCCAACTCCATCACCAGCTACAACCTTTGAGTACGACAGACGGCAGAATCGGGGAGGAGGGTCAAGACTGGAGGCCAGAAGGCATCACTCCGGGGTGCGTGTGCTCTAAAGGGTTTTGGAGCAAAGTCTGATCCTGGCAGCAGAACCAGGCTTGTCCATGAGGAAGGTTGTTGCTGAGGCTCTGTATGGGATGCTAAAGATTTCCCCCATCTCTGCTCACATCATGTGGGGAGAAGCTCTTGATGTCTTCTGAGGGCACTTCCCACCCTGGTGCTTCAGAGCTCAAAGCCAGCACTCCGCTGTGCATCTCATTTTCAAAGTCAAAACTACCCTCTGATGCACCAACAAATCCAACTTGCCTTGGCACAGTCTTGATCAGAGACTCAAACCGGAGCAGCCAACTGCCTTTCACTTTTAATCTCACACTTCCTCCAGCCTTACAACCTGCAAGAGGTGCTAAATGCAGGGTCAGAGAAAGGGAGCTCGCATCCCTTCCTAGAGTCCACAGTCACCTCCTGACCCTCCTGGGCAGCGTTCCTGGCGCTGGGGAGAACAGTCCACAGCAGCCCAGGGTGGCACCAGGGCTGCCTGGGTTGTGTCCACACCAGCCTTGGACCAGGAGCCCCCACACGTCACAGGCAGCTCTCCAGGCTCTGGTATAAAACTCCTGCTGTCGATTCACGAGGTGCACAGGGGATCCCAAACACTGTTTTCTTGCAGCTTACCCATAACTAATACAAGAAACAGGGCTGGCTCAGCCTTCCTGTGTTGATCACCAGAGGGAGGGGACAGCTCAACTAACCCCAGGAAATACGACAGCCCCAAAGAGCAAAACACACTTGTTGTGACTAAAAGCAGGCAGGTATTTTTTGTTCTACAGCGGGAAAGCATATCCCAGTTGCTATAAGCCCAACACAAAACTGTAACTAGATAGCGCGAGCACATGGCTGCGCTCACATACCTTCCCCCTCCGAAATCGGAGCAGTCACATGAGCGTGAATCTGTTGTGGTTTTTTTTTTTTTATTTTTTTGTTGTTGTTTTTTTACCTGTCCTGGAATACTGCAGCAATAAACAAGGCAGCTAGAGGGCAAAGATAAATAACATGGAGAAGAAAGCAGAAATAAAGCAGTTTGGAGCTAAGAGAAGAACCACATAAAGAGGGACCATTTCTGCAGCACAGAGAGGCCATTCCTTGCTCCAGTGAAGTTTCATTTACTGCAGGCTTTTTAGTCCTGCGTACAGAGATGCAATGCACTGCTCCTGCACTCTTAAAGCCCCACAAGTAATCCTGTTCATGCCGTTGTATGGGGACTTGCAGAGTAGGTCAGGAGCAGCAGTGTGCTTAAGCAGGAGAGGACTCACACTCCATATAAATGACGACAGCAAGAAAGATTTATTACCTCCTGCAAAATAAATTACTGAAATACAGGGGAAAAAAATAAAAATAAATCCTTAACCAAAATGTTTGTACAGGGTGGCTTTGCAGGTGTGTCACCAACTACCAGACTGACAGATTGCCTAAACCCACTGCGGGGCTGAGGGCTTGAAGATGCAATTCACCAGCTGCCACCAGCCCAGGGCTCCTCACAGGTGTTCACCAACTTGCTGCAAAGGATTTTGGCATGTTTGTCAAATCTGAAAAGCTGCTTCTTCTCCTTCCAGTCTACCCCAGTGAGATTTAATTTCCCAGTCTGCTCGGTGCTACACAGCAGGTCACCTCTAGCTCAGAGTTAAGCACTGATCTTTGTTAACTGGTGCCAGCAGCATGTTTGGTGCCACACAAGGCACCAAATCCAGGTGCGGTGTCTGTCTCAAAGGGCTTCAGTCTAGAAGAGCATAATTACTTAAAATATCTATTCCACAGTGATCTACCTCGAGATTTGATACTACTTGGCTGCTTCTCCAGAGAGAAAAAGGGTCATTATGGCAGTCAGTGTTTGGGGAGCAGGGGAAGAAGGCAGCAGGCATGAAAAGAGGTGGAGGACACAGATCCTGTGGGTGCACCTGACTGGGGAATAAGCTGGGGGGATGCTAACCTGCGCACAGAGTCACTTCAGTGACAGGAGGAGCTTACACAAGGAGTTTGGTGTGAAAACCGGGAATCCAGATCTGGCCCAGCAGCAGAGGTAGCCAGAGTGCTGGGGAGCAGGCGGAGAGCAAAGGAGGAACGGTAAGTCACTGGCACAGAAAAAGGCAAGGGAGGTCTTTGCAAGTGGGTAAGAAATATCCAAAGGGACAAAACCAAGCAGAGGACAGAGGTGAGAAGAGTGCCCTGAAGAGAGCGCACAAGTGCCTCAGCTGCTGTGAAGAACGGTGTCAGACAGGCACTTTTCAACAGCACCAAGAAGCTATGAAGTAACTAATTTAGTCAAAACATGCTAAGAGCCAGCTCCTGCGACAGGAGGCTCAGCTTGGGTAATTCTGTTTGCTTCAGATCTGCTCCCTGGAAATGCACACCAGGACCCTGAACAAAATATCGTAATCTGGCAAAACACAGAGTATCACTGCCTCCTTCCAGCTGATCACGTGAAGACATTGCTTAACACAGTTTACAAGTGGATTTCTCAGAAACTTGCAATATTTATGTCTTTTTGCTAAGCAGGTGATAGGCTTGGGGTTACAACACACTCGCCCATACCCAGGCCCAGCTCCAGACCAGCCTCAGGACTCCATGCAGGAATAAACAGGGCTGTTGCAATGCACAGAACATCCTGTCCCCTCCCCTAACACCAACACTTACCGAAGGGATCTAAAAAAAACCAGACCAGCTGCTGAGGAGGGGCATGTTCAACAGGGAACTGTAAGGCTGAGATGGAAACAAAGCGAGTTCCCTGCCAAGTGATGTTATAAGCAATAGGGACGCCGATTATCTCTGCTGGAGTCTGCACAGCTCTGAGTGCTGTGTTCAGAAGGCAGTTCATGGGATGCTAGTCTCCAAAAACCAGCCATTCGAGAAGCAAAACTGCCTCCTAAAAGCTCTTTATTACACTCATTTTCCCAGGCTCAGCTGAGACAACCCATGAAAACAGAGCACTATCTTTCTCAAGACAATCAACAAGCTCACATAAAGCAGTGATGGAAGTTCTAATTAAAATAATGGAGTTATTCATTGAAGTGTTATGCCTTAAGCACAGGTAATCAGGATCATTCCTTCCACTCACCTGGCCAGCAGGATCCCTTGGTATTCCTCCAGCTGCCGCATGAAGCTGGGGTTGGGTTTGGTGACAGTGCGCCGTTCCTTCACGTAGTCGTAAGCCCTGTCCAGGTTCCAGCCGTACTCCTTCATGGCGTAGGCGATCACTGTGGAAGCCGAGCGGCTCACTCCCATCTTGCAGTGCACCAGGCACTTGGAACCGTTTTTCCTGAAGACAAAAGAGGATCGTTGAACAGAAAACACAGCCTCTGTGAAGCTTAAGAAAACAGCAACTTCTTCACCAGAGCATCACCAAATGCATTTTCAACGCTTTGGCCACCGTCGAAGCCTGGTATGGGATCTGATAATCCAATTTACAAACTGGAGCAAGACACACAAAGAAAGTGAAGAACAAGGTCTTAATATTCTTAACAGATTTTGTTACACCCGCTCTTCTGAAGCTTTTATTGCAAAGTGGACAAACATCGTTTGTTTGCAGGGACTTATGAAGACTGCTAAAGCCTAATATGGCATCCTTTAACTCAGCCCAGAGAGCCCACTGCTATCAAGCTGTAATCCGAATAAAAAGGGCATCTATTAGACAAGCACACAATCACATGGAAGATTCTTCAGCTTTAATTTGTTTTTTTCTTACTGAACGCAAAGCATACTCTGCTCGGTGAGGCTGGTATCGAGCCTGAAAAGGCAGCCAGCACTCTGCTCCAAAGAATTAAAACACATTTATCACCCATTAAATACGAGGAGGAAGGCTACGGCCCTTCTCTGTGAACCCCACGCGCTGGGCAGTATTGGCACGGAGCAGGCTGAGAGAACTTGGGTTGGGCACCCTTAATTTTCTCCTTGGAAGTGTTCTGGATTGCCAGCCACGTGAAGTTCCCACAGGACGACGCAGGAGGCCACAGAGCACGGAGTCACGCGCCTCGACAAGCTGAGACCTCGCAGCTGTCTGAGCCGGCGCCCGCATCCGCGCTCCCCGGAGACTGGGAGATGTCTGGCTGGGCTAGAGCAGCCTTTAGAGTGCTCTAAGGCTTTTCTCAACTTCGCAAACCAACCCAGTGACAACACTGCAATGCTTTCGGTGATTTACAAAAGCCCCCAACACAACAAGCAGACAGGCCACAGAAGGGGGTACAGTAATTGCCCCGGTTTGGAAGGTTATTAACTTACGTTGCCTCACACACAGGACTGAGGCTCAACTGTTTAAATCCCAACGGAAAATATTCTGGGCAGGAGAATACTTCTGAGGATGACAACAATTAAAAATCAATACTTAAGGGAATACAATGATGTCTTTTAAAGAAAATATCTTAAATAAAGTAAGTCTGAAGCCACAGACTCAAACAAGTAAGCTTATAAAGGCTACGGGAAATTGCAAGCACCGGCTACAGTCAAGAGATGATGGACTTCTCTAATGGAAATTATACTTTAAAGGCAACATATGCCCATCTGCTTTCTGACCAGTCTTCCCTTAAGAACACCGATGAATTAACCGGAGACAGCTCATATAACCGGGATGCTGTTCTTTGCAGTAACAAGGCCCTACTTTCAGCATCCACTATCGGATTACTCACCGTAACTGATGGCTCGGAGACCTACAGGGGCATTTACTCCTGTTAAAAAAGAGTTTGCTCTGGAGCTTTATGCTACAGGATTGTGGGCTTCATCGTACAACTTGATGCAGGGAACAGCTGACGTTTCTGTGTGGCTTATAAAGTTTGTTTTGCACTTTTGTTAAACGCTGCCCGATTTGTTACTGCCCTTTCCTCCCACCAGCACCTCAGCAGTTTTGCTGCATTTCCTAAGCAGCAGGAGAACTGTGAGCTCTCCAGTACAGGAATGGTCTCCTCCACTGTTTGCCTGGACTGGAAATGGGCAGAAACTCCTCACTAGTGCTACCTGCTCCTTGTACACGCACCGTCAAGAATGAAAATTTGTGGAAGGCCAGTCTAATATCCAGACAGAAACTACAAAATGGAAAAGCTTTGATCCTAGGTAAGCAAGGAGGAAAAGTAGTTAAGGAAATCAGTAGGAAAATACAAAATGCTTAGTATACCTCTTCTAAATGTCTTTGTTCTGTTCTGAAAAGACTTACTTTGCCTTGGAGATGAATTTGTAGGTGTCATTCCAATAAGCCAGAAGATCTGTTGCTTCTTCATCATATACTCGAATATTATGGTATTCGAAGAGCCCCGGGAAGAAGTTATCTATTTCTCGAGTCACATTCAAAATATACCGCACCCTGCGTGGAAACAGACAGCAGACAGAAATGCAGAGTGTGCAGAACACAGCAAGTTCAGAGAGGTATCACAGCTGCTACTCAGCAGCCTCGCTTGCCTTGCGAGTGGCAAAACTCAACGCATTTGAAGCTGCAGTATTGAACATATCCCCTGGAAACCAGCACTGAATGCAAGGAGGCAGCAGATAACACAGACAAAAGGTTTTGCTGAGCCTCAGATCGAAGGGCTTCTATCCACACTGGACAGAAACTTCCTCTACTGTTTGCCCACCATCTCTCTATCCCAAGCGTTTGCAACACTTGGGTCACAGGAACTCCTGCACTGACTGTTCAATTAGTCTTTGGACACTTCCTCAAAAGCCCATTTGTGAATCTCTTCCCCTGCTGCAGCAACCACACAGGAAGACTGAAGGCAGAAGAGCTCATGAGGAACACCACATTTAAGTAAATGTATAAAATAACTACAGAGAGATTTAAGAGACAATGAGCCGCTGGGGAGGATTTATTTCTTATCCCTAAATTTTCTGGAAAGGAAACTGCTAGAGAAAGCATATTGTATTTATGTACGCCACATCCAGTATTTTTAGCCCTGAGGGTTACTTGTAAGACACTTACAAACTGCTCTCATGCTGGGATATCAGACGGAACAAGAGCACCGCAAGGGACTGACATGCCTTCTCCCTCGCGCGTGTGAGATCGCTGGCAGTCAAGTAGGACCTGTCTGACCCAAGGAAGCTGCAGCAGACCCTGAGCTCAATGAGGAGAGTCAATTTGCCAGGCTGATTCTCCAAGGCACAGAATATGCCATCAATTAATTCAGTAGAGTGATTAGTTTTTTCTTCCACTGGATTGGCACAAATAAGCCAAACCCATAGATAATGACTTAATTACAAAATCTTCGTGCTTAGATCCACCTGGCCTAGAGAAAGGACACTCTAAGCATAAACCTGAAAGGCAGAAAGGGCAGGAGACAGAGGAACTCAACGAGTGCTCAGCCTGAGCGCTACAGGACTTTACCTCCTGCTGGGCCCCACTCAAAGCAACAAACGCTCTTTGCATATTTTCCTTCCTGCCACAGTCTGGAGGTGCAGACTCCAAAGCACTTCTGTAATCGTGAGACCTCAGTCCAGAACAACGAGCTGGAGCAGAGGGCACGGAGCCAACTACGCAGCATCCAGTTCAGTAATTGTGGCCTTTTGCTACTTCTAGCTATGAGATTGCCGGCTTCCTTTCTTCACCAAGGGGATGTCAGTCAAGGTCAGGGAACAAGATTCTTTTACTTTAGGGTGCCTGTTTGCAGGATGTGGGGGTTGGAGGAAGCAAGAGCTTGTTTGGATCTGCAAACTCTTTAACGAAGACTTGGGTTACACAGCAGGTACGGAAGAGTTTGTTGCAATAGACAGCACTGAGGCCAGGATCTTGCTTTTAAGCTGACGGCCTCAAGCTACTCACCCTCTGTTCTGCAAGTCTTCCAAATTGGAGGCATTCCATTCCGAGCCCTGCAGGGAAACATGCAAAGGGACACATCAGCCAGGAGGAAGGAATGGCCAGACAACTGATGGACAGAGGGACTGTCACTAGCAAAGTGGAGGAGAAAGCTGGCCAGCCCGGAGTCGGAGAGCAGGGCGTCTTTTGAGTAGAGGGGTACACAGAAGAGTGGTAACAGGGCTAATGTTCAGCACTTTAAGTCACCCCGTTAACCACATCTATTGGGAAGCAACAAGCAGCTCTGCAAAGCAGAAGCCCAGCATCATACGCTGGTGCTTCCTGCAAACAGCCAAGAAACCAACCTCACTGAAGACGAGACCACTCCACCCTTCCCTGGAGGCTGCTGCCAGCTCTAGCCCACAGAAGAAAGACTGCCTGCGTTTAAAAACCATCCAGGTGCTCTTTATACATGAAACACCCATCTCACACATCAAAGGCGGCAACACCTAACCTCACTTGGGTTACACCTCTTCTCCCCACATTCAAAGCCTGTGTGAGCAGAGAAATAAACATCTTTAACCCTGGCTAGTTAACCTTCATCTCTGCAGCACACACAGGGCCTCCAAGCTGCTTGTTTCCTCCTCAAACACAAAAACCCTGGCTGAGGACAAAACCACTCAGACCAAGGCTTCCTTCAACATGTAAGGTGCACAAGCTATCTGCTTCCCTGCCCTAAAACAGCTCCTAAACAGGAGGATGCTCCAGGTGAAGGAGTAAGCAAGAAGGATCCAGGCAGCATTGGCATCACCAGCACAACTGAACTACCCTTGCTCACAGCTGCTCCCACATCGCCCCAGGGCCAGGGGAGGCGCAGCTGGGGCGAGCCAGCCCTTGGAGCACATACACACCTGCCTGCAAATCCCATCAGCCTGAGAGCTAGAATCTCCCAGTTTTGCAGAAGAAGCAGCGTCCACCCAAAGGACAGGTTGCTGCTTGCCCCAGAAAATGTGTACAGGAGCCTTGGGTCTGAGATGGGGGAGTTCCAGCAGCTGGTTCTTCCCAAACTGGACTACTTCCTCAGAGGAACAGTACTAGGACACCATTCAAGGGTTCAGCACAGATAGGAGTCTGAATTTCGAGCAGAATAAAGGGGCCAGGGAGGACTGGATTTCAACTGAATCCAGTGCCTCCAGCCATAGATCAGGTCAATCCCAGGAAAGTCCGGCACTGTGCATGATGTGAAGGAAGCCTACGGGGGCTCTTGCTATTCCACATCTGCCAACAAATGTAATTTGATCCCTGTTGTATTTACCCTTAGTCCCCCCAACTTAAGTTAGCTTCATGTTGTCTCTTCCTGGCCAAGGAAGAGCGATTTAATTCAGGCCTGGGAACCACCAGTTTCCACAGATATGGAGAACAATGCTGCAGTGGTGGAAGCCTTTTCTCCTGTCCTTTGATCCACAATCACCAAAATCATCAAGTCTTTTATTTCCTGCATAGTTACTTTAGCACTCCCTAAGTGGGATTCCACAGGGCTCTTGCCTCCACCTGGAAGGAAGCAGCTCCACGCCTTCCAGAGACCTCACGGGACAACCTTGCCTTGCAGGATACCTGCTCCTGAATCAAGCTGGTGCCCAGCCCCAGCAGCCCTGCTCCTCACCACTGCTTTCCAAATATTCCCATTCCACACGTTAGCCACAGCTCTTCTCCTTGGCGCTGCCTGCAAGCCTTGTTTTACAGGTCTTGTTCCCATTAAGTGCTCTCAGAGCCAAGACACCAAGCCCTGCAGCAGATCAAACTGCCTGCACTGCTTTTGACTAGCACTGGAAGCCTGTAACAGGTCTCCCTTTCTGGTGAACACAGTTCACAAAAATATTCCATTACACTCTAGGTACTTTAAGTTTCCTGGCTCTACCCCACCACAATTTTTCGGGAGCGCTCACAATAACATACACCATGCCTTCCAAGCCACGCTAAGCTTCAGGAGACTGGGAGAGGCCCTCTCCACTTGGAAAGATCAGCTGGTCCAAGAGGAATGGCTTTGTTTAAAGTTGAGCCAAGCTCATAGGCTAGACAGCCCAACCAAACATGCGTCCGTTGCTTCAGGGCTGGGAAATCCAGCGGAGCGCTGACTCACCAGAATGAGGTGCAGTAATTAGACAGGCCCCAGCAGCAATGAAAGGCAACTAAGTGAGTAAAACATTAAAAGGCAAAATGTTTATGTTTCCTTAAGTGACTTATCTCCAGGATTCTTTGTTAAGCTCCTCTGTTCCTCCCAAATCTCAGAGCTTTCTATGCTACAGAAGTGTCATTCCACCTGAATGTTACACAGCTCTCTCCAAGAGCTACCCTCTCGCTCTGCTGTAGTTATCACAGGATCATTAAGGTTGGAAAAGACCTCTAAGATCATCAAGTCTAATCAATGCCCTTCCCAAACACATGTATACTCCAAGAACTTGGCATGTGGGCACCTCGGACTGTTCTTACATCAATGGAAAAAGCCCTGAAAAGTCATTAGAATTAAGACTTTTTCCCTTCCATCCTCTAGTGACTGGGTCTAAAGATTAATACAGCCAAGAAACCAAGCAACTCTTGTTCAATAGCACTAGTGTCTTGCTTAAGAGTATGTGACCCCAGGATCAGCCAATCTCTCCTTCAGAGCTCCTTTAAGTTCCTTCAGAAGCCCCTGTGTCAACCAAGACACAGTGAGAAGTGTTAGGCGTGTTTACTCTGGAATTCACCCTTAGACTTACCAAAAAGACATGATCAAATATCTGTGTGGGGCTGTCCATCTGCCCAAGGATCACGATCATTTCATTGTCAATGAATTCTTTGAACTCCCGCAGGTTACACACCATCTGCATCTCCAGCTCAGTGCGTATCTGGGTGAGGAAGAGGAACACAAGGAAGCCACGTAAGTTTTTGTTCTGGCCTTTCTTCACGACATAAAGTACAGAGCTCTCTAGTCTGCACAACAAAACTGCCAGTGCTGCTCCCTCGTGACTCACCTCTTTTGACGTGATGTTTTCCAAATCTTTCTGCATCATGATCTCCCTTAACTTGGTCTTAATTAGCCGTTCCGTGCGTTCCCGCTCAGTTGGGCTATCAGAAGAAAGCAACAGTCACTGACAGAGGAAACAAACTAACTGGACTCACAGCACTTTTCAACAGGATACTCTGTAGAGTCTCGGATACTCACACCAATTCTCCCAAGCATGTCCTCAACTGGAGGGAATTTAGGTGACTGTAAATCCCAGTTTAGATTCCTGGTCGTATACGAAAAAGACGAACTGAATGCTCCTAATCCATTGTAGTCATCCAGAGAACCTCTGGTATTCGGTAAAATTTAAATTGGGAAGGCTGCATTATATTCTCTGGAGCAGTATCTAAGCTTCCCCCTACCTTTCTTGGAAAGGTAACCGCTCCAAAGCTCCTTACATGGAGAGACCAGGGCAGCTAAGCCTCTGTGCATTCCTCCAGCCTCTGCTGCCAGAAGCCTTATCACCAGCTGCAAAAATAGCCTGACTAACACCGGGGAAGGCTGCAGCAGAGCAGCAGCACAGAACCGTCTCACTCATCATCTTTAGAAGGGACCCAGCGGTAACATCTCGCACAACCTTTGTGCTTCTCTGGAAGGCTGCCAGGATGGCGACTGCACAGACACTGCTTTACAAGTGTCCAACTGGTGGTTCACAAATAAAAATCAGACGAGTTCCTGGTCCTTTTAACCTCAATGCATTATTTCAGGACTCAATTAAGAGAACGCTGTTTAGGTGTCCCCAGGAAATCATTCAAGTGCTGCCACATGGGAAAGGGTGGGTTATAAAAAATTTATATATGGAAAGCTACAAGCGAATATTAATCTGACAGCCTGCCAAAATTTTTCAGCCACTCTCCTTGTACATTAAAAAACAATCAAGTGCGAAGACTTGTTCACAGTTGAACAACTGCTTAGTGTTACTATTCACTCACTGAACTCCAACAACAGGAAATATCCGAGGGCATAAATCAACCAACAGCACTATTATATTGGGAAAGCAGCTGGGGCTAGTGAAGCAATTTCTTCTACTACAAACTGGGCAACTAAGCCCTTGCGCCTGGCATCACATCTGGACACAGGCTACCTTTGAGGTTATACTGTATCAGTACCATCAGCAATTAATTACAGGGGTTTTAAACCTTGAATGTTGATATGGCCTTTCCAAACTGTCTTGCCTTTCCAAACTATCTACCCATCTAGCTCAGGCACGGTTTTGGACCACGTATCATCAGGTATTCAAGTATTTGGATGGAGACAACTTGGGACTTACACGCTGTCCTGTTTCATACCTACAGAGCTCCCCAGAATGATGAAAAAACTCTCTCCCACGTGTATCAGACGGATGCCTACGCAGATGCTTCTGAGCTCACAGTCTCAGAAGTCCACAAACAAACACTTCACTTAACAGCAAAACGAACTGAGTAAGGAAAAAAAGACTCTGTTACTCTAAACATGTGCTCAGACATGCGCCAGCATAAGAGCAAAGTCCAGAGAAATCTGTTCCTTCCCGAAGACATCAGGCCTAGAAAGCAGAGGCCAAAACCAGCAAAGAGGACAGGCAAGGAGCTAGAATACACAAGTCTCTAACTAGTAATATGGGACTCGTCTTGCAGAAGCAAAGGTCTGAGAGCTTAAAACCCAAGGTAAACAACTAGACTGAAAACAGAGGCTGGAGGAGATGCAAGGGAGCCCAGGTGAGCCAAATTCCAGGGCTGTTGTTTACCTAACCAGGGGTCTGTTTATTACCTGGAAGAGGAAACCTCTCCTCATTAATAACTGATTAATAGAAACCTCTTGTAGAAACTGCCTTCTCGTTTGGAGGCTGCGTGTGCTTGACAGCCATACACTTCGGCTCAGCAGAGCCAGACCAACTTACACATCTGTGAAGAGGGCGGGCGAGTCGGGCCGGTGGGACTGGACATCTTGCATGGCGTTCCACTCGTTGACTGACGACTGATCTGAGTTGATATGGCTCTCATAGTAACTGACCCACGTGAGGAAAAGGCTCCCTGGGTAGTAATTGTTGCTGCGTGCCACCTCACATGCCTTATGTAAGCTCTGCAGAGCAGACCTAGAAAGAGAAAAATACTTGCAGGGTTGTAATTTCTTCCTCAGGCTAGTCCTGAGCACAAAGCAGCAGCCAAACCCAGGACGCTGCTCCCGTCCCATCAGTTGGTACAAACCCCGGTGCAACATGCAACAGCCCCCGGCACCGAGCCAGAGGCTTTCCTGCAAGGGTGTGGACAACTACACGCTGCAGGAACTTGCATGTTTTAACCGAAGTGTGCCAAACCGAGCCTGGATAGCAGCGAAGATGTCCGCAATTCAGAGGGCAGAGGCACCTGTGTCTTGGGCTCCAAAAGCTTCTACAGGTACTTAAGCCATAAACAAGATGCACAGAGTTTGTGTCCCAGACAAGGGCTCTGACAGCTCCCACTGTGCCAACAGCATCCCCGCGTGCAGGGCAGGGACACCAGGAAAGCCGCACAACCAAAGGTTTTGGGCTTGACTTTACTGAGGTGTTTGGTGTCCGCCCTCTCTCACCGCACCAGAGATGTCAGAAGTTTCTTCAGCTGCTGTTGGGAAACAAATCCCTCTGTCCTAATTTTAGCTTGTTTTAAATCTTTGACTGGGATCAGAGGGATCCAGGTCAAAATCAGGGGGGGTGGCAGAGTAGCATGATACCCCGAGAGGGGATGTATTTCGGCAATGCAAAGAAGCTTGAGCCAGAAATACTTTCATGGCCACTACATTCTTACATGAATCACCCTAAAAGGAATGACAAATGCAGGCAGCTTCTCCTTCCTTCTCCCTCTCACAATGAACATGTCTCAGTGGAGACTCCTGAAATATGCACAGCATATACCTCCTTATTGGTGAAAAATTGTAAAAATAAAATTCAAAAACATATGCTGAAAGCAATCCTACTTTGGAAAGATTCAAAGCAGGAGCCTTTTGCAAGGAAAATGACCCTCTTTCTGCCTGCCCCCAGCTGAGACGAAAGCGTGGCTGCAGCAGTATTGCAAGCTCACTCCTATATACTAGCACTTGCATTGCTTTTTTTCAAACTTCCTTCTCCATCTCTGAAAGAGACTTCTGGCTACTCAAGTAGGTCTCAAGATACCAATAATGCAAAGCAGCACCTGCATTTTAAAAGCTCGAGCAGCCAAAACACCTTGGAAAAAGGGTCACTGGGACAGATTACAGTAAGTACTCACCACATTGCCTGTACAGACACTGGCTTGAATATGTGAACCCTGTTATCTGTTGATACGCTGAACCCTCTGGAGAGAGGAAAAAAGGCACAGTAAAAATATATCCCCAAAATAACTTTTCAGTTAATAACTGATAAGTTTGTAGCACGTTAGAACAGCAAAAGGGTAGCCCTATGCATACACTGCTGAGTCCAGCTAGCGAACAGATCAAAATAGCACACTAAAAGCTCTAAGATAACTTTTTTAAGCAGCTGCTGTTCAGGAATGAAACTAAGAGTATGGGGCAGTGCTGGGCTGTGCTGTTTACCTTGGCAACACAAATTCAGTGCCACAGCTGGGAGCAACAGAGTGCAGCTAAAGTGATCCTGGGGCAGCTACCAAGGAAAGAAAAGTCATTCCATGCGCTGCATGGGACAGCCTTTGTAACTGGCACAAACAGGAGTCTGCAAGTCAGGTGTCTGTTTGGCAGAGAAACATCATTTTATGTTCAGCTGAAGGCCGCCCGCTGCTGCGAGTGTGATGGAGGAACACATAATAGGATCCCTTTAAGGAGCTTTCACTACACACCCACTCACCAGTAAAAGCTCCTTTACTCCAGCTTAAACACACACACGAGCCACTGTCTCGGTGTGTGTTTATTCACAGTAAGTCAATTATTGGTGTTCTCTGCCACAACCACTGTGATTTAGGGCCTCTGAGCCTACTAACTCGATACAGGTCAACAGCAGGAGGTCTGCCCGACCTGTTAGGGCGCTGCAATCACTTCAATCCTTCCCCACGCACCGTGCTGTAAGATCACACATGGAGACCCTCGGCTGTCGACCTCGAACATATAAAATTCACTCACCCATCCCCGTCCAGGTGGATCAAGGTGTCGCTCCACAGCGGCAGCACCAAGCCCATTGTACAAGTACTACTGCATAAGAAAGAGAAGGTCAGCCCATCTGCCAGAGCACCACGCTGCTATTCTAATTGCACAGCAGTGGTTGCATATTTTTGCACTCGTGAGCAAAAAAAGAAAAATCCCACTGTTGCTTCAGGGACAAACAGAGCCAGTGTTGTTCTACAGATGTCTGGCAAGGACCATTAACCAGATACGGGGTACAGCAATGCTCTTTCGAGCAAGCTTAAAGGGTTAACACACACCCAGGAGAAGAGCAAACAGGATCCAGCAGCAGCAAGCCTTGTGCGGAAGGTCAGAGGGGGCTCAGCCCTCAGTCAGCTCAAGGCTTTCTTTACAGATTAGTCCCTCTCCAGCTCAAGTGGTTTGGTTCTAGCTCTGATTTTGCAATCCACAGCTTTGTTTTCTTGTTTGTCCCTCAGCCACAGCTGCTAGGAACTGCGATCAGTCTCGTGGAATAGCAGAGGGACTGGCAGCACGGCAGGTTAGCCATCGCAGCCTATCACTCGTTGTTGACTCCTATCCCTTCTTCTCCCTCCCACACCTCGAGGATGAGCAAAACAGCCAGCCGAGACAGACACCTCTTGGCAATCCCCCCCTTCTCGCAGCTGCTTTGACCTCTCTGCCCTCGCAGTCACCTGCTTTCTGTACGGCTGAGTGAAAAGTCAAGTTAAAAGAAGCCAAGCAATGGAAAAAAAGGCAGGGGAAGCCCAACACAACCTACACCAGCCTGTCAAACAAAAAAGCTGAATCTCATAAAGCTGAGAAATCGGTCCATAATCAAAGCAGCATCTTGAAGGAGAATTGGATTCAACTGCCTCCTGCTCGGATGCTTTGTACTAGCTGCTCTCAAAATTCCACAAGCCCCAACACCCTAGCGCTGTCTCTGCAGCTCATGACAAGTGGGAGAAGAGGGCGAGACTCGAGGCTTCGGGGGGGGTCAGCAGACATGAAGCCCTGTAAACGCACACGCCTCCGAGCGACTGGTGCCCAGCACAAGGAGACACTGCAGCACGCAGCTATTTCTGTTGACAACATGAGATGAGCTCATGGAAAGATGCAATTTTAAAAGGCTTCCCAAGGTGGCCAGGGTATTTTTAGTGATACTGTTCTGAAAGCACTTATCAGAGACCATAGCAACAAGTCTACATTGAGTTATAAATATCAAGTGGGCTAGGGGAGGGTGTATTACACTGACCATCCAGAACCTAAGTAACTCTAGCAGAAAGCTAAAATGACCCTGCTGTGTTGTTAGAGACTGAATTCCAGCGAGCTCTCAGCTATCACAGGTGGCTGTGCTGGTCTATCACAGCCAAGAGTGAGCTCCAAGCAAGGACAAGTTATTCTTACACTATCGCGAGAGCATCTCTGAGCTACAGCTGTGCACATGCGCACTGGAAGGGAGACAGGGTCCAGTGGCATCGGGCTGGTCCCCCTTTTTAACAGGCGTTGCTTGAGCTCAGCATCCAAACCAAGCCACTTGGAATTAAGCACGGTGGCCCTTGTGATGAGCAGGCTGTTCGGAAGGCAATTTCTTAGCCAACCAGTTCAAAAAGATTTTCTAGTGACCCTGCTAACAACCCGAAAGTAGCTTCTTCCAACCAGGGTCAAAAGCAAGACTCATTTCTGTAGCAGCAGAACATGTAAGCAGCATACATGTTAGCACATGTATGAAACCTTGCAAAATTGTGCGGATATAGAGATGATTCTTTCCCTGTACAGGCCAAGATTTACTTACAACTCTCCTAAAAACACCTCCATACCCTCTCCAAAGTGCCCAGAAACCCCTTCTAAACTTGAAGCTTCTGCCCTTGAGGCTGCTGGCAGTGCTGTTTCCTGGTTTAGAGTCACTCCAGCAGCAAAAGCTGCTTCCCAGCCACATGCTGCAGCCTTTTGGAGAGGTCAGGAGCAATTTATAGGAAAGAAGCAAAAGCACTAAACCTCAATGCCATACTTACGTCTGAGGAGAGCACACATTGTGTAAGATCTGCCACCAGCAACCCTGACACTGCCATCAGGCCCTTTGGGACATGACCCTAGCAAGGGGCTGCTTGACAAGTTGCTTTCTTATTAGCTGCTCTCCTGAACCCTGATGTCCAGCTTCTCTAATTGCAGCTGCTTCTTTATTTGCAGGCAAGTTGTCCCCGTCTCTGGTGTGCAGACGCAGCACTTGGGGACCTCACCGTTCAGAGACACTTAAGGGCATTTAATGTCTCTGAACAGTAGTGTGAGGTTCAGCGGAATGGAGGAAACGCTGCGAGTACCTGTCATTGGAAGAGAAATCCATTCCTAGGACAATGCTCTCTTCGGTGTCTTGTCTGCCGTTGGTGGACACTACCACCATGTATCTAGTGCGGTTCTGGTAGGTACTTTCCAGTCTTACAGCCTAAAGAAAGGAAGGGGAGAGATCAGCAGTGCAGCCAGCAAAACACACGCTATTACCTTTACAAGCCACTTTTTCATGCTGAGTGACAGGCGCAGAAGCAGTGATGCAGTTTGCACTAGTGCGGGTGGCCCGCGCTTCTCGGCTGGGTATCCAGCAGAAGAGGGAGAAGCGACTTACTTGCTCACATAACGCTTTCCTCAGCAGCTGGCACGTTCCTGGCACAGGCTGCAGGCCTGCTCTGCCCCACTGAGGCTGCGTTTGAACAGCAGCCTACGATAGTGGCTGGCACAGTCCTCTGACTGGTCCCAGCCCAGGCAGCTTCACAGAGCATGACACGTTCAGTGAGTCAGACGGGTGCTGAATGTGCCCTTCACCTCACAGGGGCCTTTGTCCAAAGAGCTACGGCTTTCTTTTAAACTACCGGGTGCTACGACAGCTCGAATGAGACTCTTTTCATCACCCTCCCAGGCAGCTGGACAGGCAGCGAGGACCTACTTCATATGTGGTTTCCTGCTGGTCCTCTGAATTCTTCCAGCAACTTCCCTGGCACAGAAGTAACTTTACTGCCTTACACGTGGCACCCTGTTACTAACCTGTACTCATGGTTGGGTTCAGATTGCCCAGAAAAGGTGGAAGTCTTTGTCTCTCATTGCTCCAACCACAACCACATGTACCCCAGTGCCAGAAGAGAGATCTTGCAGGGCATCTGAGCTTCACCCCAAACCAGATAGTACTGACAGCATTGAGAAAGCAGCGGTACAGCTGAGCTGAAGCTCCTGAAACGCTACACTGAGGTGTAATGCTCCTCCAGAAACCATAAGGAAGCAAGAACTGAAGGGACTCCAGTGCTGCAAGTCTCGACTATGAACATCTGCAGTAGGCAGCCTCGCAACACTTTTTGGACTCTATTCCAAGCCATTTGCAGTTATTTTAGTCACAGGATCCCAAGTAGAGAAATTAGGACATCCTTAGAAAGGAAGTGTCTTGATCATGTGTACTAAATCTTAACTTTGGAGAGCCTAATCCAGCCCCAAGACACTATCTGGCCTCAATGTTTACCGTTTTGTTAAACTGCGTCTTGAACTTTGAGCAGGGCCTGCGGAGAGCAAACACGAGTGAGAAGGAGCCGTCACAGCCCAGCCTTGCCCCGTGCGGCAGACAGACGCTGGCCTGCTGCCACGAGACCCAGTTGCCCAATTCCTCACGACCCAACGGCTGAAGCTTGAAGCAGTGTTTGACATCCTCTGCAAACTCAACCTGAATTCCTCAAACAATAAAAACCCTCCTGAGCCGCTGCTTGAGTAGACACTTCTTGATGGCCCATGGGAGTTCATGGCTCAGAGAGTCCAGTTTAAACAGTCACTTTATCCTTAAAAAAAAACGTTCAGAAAGTAGCTATTGTGTGGGATCTCTCACAAGAAGGCTGATTTTCCCAATACACTCCTTTAGTTCTTTCTAACATAGTCTTGAGGCCAGAATTGCATCTCCTAGCTTAGAGGAAGCCCCCTCTGATCTCTTCACACCTCACCTGTCCACCAGCCAGTACGTTTTGGCCACAGGATGTGGCAGGGTCTGCAACAAAGGTTATAACAGCGCAGGGCAGCTACAACAGAGCTCGCTCTTTCACTGGAGTGCTCTATCGCAGGAGGCGACGCTGGGAGCGGCAGGGAAAGCTTCCCAGTGGCGTTGCGGGGAGCAGCAGCTCTCGTGATGGGGGCGGAACAGCAAGTGCAGGCAAGAGACGGTGCTGACTGCGTCTTCTAGACTTGTCCAATGGGACAAAGACTAACAGAAACTACCCAAACGCCGATGCCAGCAGACAGACGTGCTCCGTACGGCAAGAGGCTGTGCCCCACCCCATCTCTTTAGGATAAGTCATGCTAAAACCAGCCTTATTTTCCTTCTTGCTCCTTGAGTCACTGGGATTCCTTTGGAAACACAGAGGATCAAAGCGGTCAGTCCTTCATGGTGTGAATTCTGCCAAAGACGGCTGTTTTTACAACTAACCACTTGTAGCAAAACAGAAAGGGTGCTCTTCAACCTAGAAGAGCAAGCAATCACCAAAGTCTTGGTGGTTAAATTCATTATCTACATTAGGACCCAAACCTCAAACAGAAACACAGGCTTGCTGAAAACAGGAGCAGGCGAACAACAGCTGCCCGGTGTCTGGGGCATCCACACACGAGTTCTGTTCTGCTTTTCTTGAGGACAGTCCAGCAGCAAGAGGATTAACGTAATCTAACTTACGTCGCTAAACCAATTTGGCTGGCAGCAATGGGAAGTGTGGTCTTAACGCAAGACCCTTCAGACCAGGGCCAGACAAACAGCGACCAAAGGTCACGTAGCCTGAAGTCAGTGGGTGGGATTTTCAGAGGGCCGATTAAGAGAAACAGGGCATGGCTTACTGTGGCTCTGGATTCAGCACTTACACCCTTACCACAACGCAAAGAACTGGAGCAGGTAATTCGTTTTGCTAATTTTACTAGAATAATAAGTAAGCAAACTTGATAGTGTAAACCAGTCAACCTCAAAATAGCAGAGCTCCAACACGCCCACCAACTCACCAATTTCTCTCTAACTTTTTCATTAAGCACTGTTTCACATGCTCACACGACAGCAGGAGCACACCAGGTAAGTGGTCTGATGCCTTTAAAACGAAGATATTTGAAATCTCGGCCAGTCGAGGGAGGATGGTCTAGTTTCAGGGACTGTGATGAGATGGAAGGTTCTTTCTCAACAACTCATCTGCATAGCTTTCTCTCCGATTTGGGAAGGTTATTTATAGTCTGCTCATAAACAAGTCATCCCCTGGAGTCATTTTAGTGCCAGCAACATTTTCTTCATTTTAGGCTCACCTAAACACAAGCCAACTTTATCTTCTGCTGCATTCTTGTTTCGTCACAAGTATGATGAACAGCCCTTATGAAGAGCACGTTCCAAGAAGTTCATACCAACCTTTCATCTTTTTCATGCTACACGATAGTAGGTGTTTCATACAAGAACACATTCCTCATTGGGATATTTGATTTTAAGACCAAAAAAAAAAGTGCCTGACTTTCTGAAGTTTTCTTTTATTAGTGAACACAAATAAGTGAACAAGTGCTCGCTCTGCTAAGCTACAGGAATACGTTCAATCAGTTTGTACTCTTATTTTCGTCCTTCCTACTGATCTTACACTGGTGCCATCGCTCTAATCTGCTCTCATGGAAGGCTAAAACACTCTGCCAATAGCTCCAACAGAAACAAGAGCTGTTCCAAATTTTAAGTGTGGGTTTACAGAGAATTAGATTCCTCTGCTGCCCTCTGAGCTGGGAAGTCTGCCCTCCGAATGACAGCGGCCAACACAAGAAGAGAATGCATTTCTCTCAGTACTGTTTATATTTCAAATCTCGCTCGTATCTACTATTTTATGACAGAGTCTATTGCGGCTCTGCACACCCTTCGTTCGTCAAGAATCAATTAAATTTAAGCAGACTATCGAACTTAACCTCATGCAAGATTTCAGCATTCCAAATGTAGCTCCGAACAAAAGGGTTTATGTCTCAGCCCACAAAGTCCTTATTCAGCTGTTAAGGCTAATTTGTCCCAAATCACACAATGTAGCCAGTGATATTGCTGAACAATAACTTGTTCAATAGCTTCCAATGTTCTAACGCCAGCTCAGATTCTGAAAAGCACTGAGAACCCCCATTTCCATCACTTTCACTGAAATTTTTGTGACAGCAAGGTGTGCCTTAAAAAGTTTAAGAGTAAGTCTTTTAGCTCGCTTATGGCAAATTATTTTCAGTGGTCATTTTTCAAGTTAAGCATCCTGTAGTAACCTTGCCTGTTTTCTAGCTATACTCATCATATAATCAGTCCAGCTCCAGCAGAGCTCAGGAGGATTCAGCAAACCAGAGATGCCAAAATAACACCTCTGACGCTGGCAGTCCTACTTTGGGCATATGTTGCTAAGATGCACCAAGACAACACAGCAAAGAAACTTGAGGTTAATGAGTGATGAGAGATGAAGATATACTGCAGTCATGCCCAACCTTTTAAGAGCGCTTCAACAAGTCCTAGAGAAACTCCTCACTGCTCTTCTTTGGCTTCTGGAGGTCGTCAGGATTGCATGTCAATGTTATAAACAGCAATGCCTAGTTTTTGTTACATCATTATAGGAGGCAACAACCCAGAAAAGCAGAAAGACAAGGTGCGTAGCTACACGGGGATCCTACATGCTCCCTCCTGATCAGCCATGTCCTTTTGGGATACAACACGTTAGGAGAGCAGAGCGAGGAACACAACTAATGTGGAAGGGCAGGTGTTCACACTGGTCAGATGCTAAGTCACCTACTCTTGATTTAAACAGGACACTGAGCTAATTTACCCAGCTTCTCTGGTGGCTGTTACAGTACTTTTTGAGAACATAAGTACTCAGTATTTGCTGCAGACAAAGGCAGTCTTCTAGCCATACAATTTGTCTCATCGAGCAACCAAACAATAAGGTCTTTCATAATAAGCTGCTTTTCCACCTTTGTGGTTGCAAAGACAGCTCCCCAAACCCACTGATGAAACCACTCAAACGCACACGCATCGCCACCCTCATGAGTTACACGGGTGTATTTGTCAAGTGGAACTTAACCTTTATATTCGGTAACAGCAAGATAAGCAAAAAGCCAGCCTACCAGTCTGATGTTGTCTTCTGGGCGGAGCAGTATGAACATGGCCTGCAGGTGCTGCTGAAGATCCCCTGCAGGCAAGAGGGAAAGGTGAACGCACAAAAATAGTTTTGAATCACATGCTAATTCCAGGCTGTCCAGCCAGAGGAAACTGTCCACCAAGAAACCTGACACGTCACTGCGAGCAAACGTTGTCGCTCCCACCCACTCACAGATGACAAAACTCCATCTCTTAGTCAGCTGCTCTTTGCTCCATGTGCTCACCTGTTCCCGTCTTACCACGCTCTCTCCTCCTCTTATCTTTTAAATGGAAATAAAAAGTGATTCAGTATTCTTTGTTCTTTAAAAGACATGGGAAACTAGGTAGAAAGGGACCCCACCCCATGGTTCAACACCTCATTCTACCACGTGCCTCAAATCAGGAATCTGCCATTTCTCTTACGTCAACTTATTACTTAGTCCAGTACTACCTAGACAAAAGCATCCCCTTTGAAGTGAGATTCAGAGCAGCACGTGGCCGCATATGACTGTGTACCGGCCTCACCCAAAAGCGGCTAAAGATTGCCACCTGAAAAATCAAACTGTAATTCTTCTGTACAAAACTCTTGCTACACTTTTACTGGTGAAGAGAACTGAAAATTAATAAATAAATAAGGAAATACAATCACAGTCGCATCACAACTTTAAAGTCTTCTTAAAAAAAGTCGACTGTCCCAGGTTCCTAAAACATCAAGAATTTGAATGGCAAAAGAGAGTTTCTCCGCTAGGCGAGCAGGTTACCTTCAGAGCGTCAGGGAGCACTAACACCTCCAGCTACAGGCTGGTTTTTCTCTCATCACCTGGGAAATTAATCCACATTCCAAGAAAGGACAGCATGAGGCTGCCAGGTGGATGGCACAGGCTGGTAAGAAAAGGAGAAGCCTTTGCTCTCCCACGCTGACCCCCTCGCCCACAGCCGGGAAGGCGAGTTTAGGCAATGCCACACAGAAGAGCAGGATAAGAGGCTACGAGAGCATTTTCTAGGAAACCTTCCTGATGTTGCTTTCTAAATTCATCGGTGGCAGTAGAATCCAGGCTATTCCATGGATTTTCAGAACTAAGGAAACCTCGGACATGAAGTGCCACGAAAGAGGAGGGGAAGGAAGGAAATGCTGCCCAGCAAGAGCATGGTACCTAGCTTACAAATTATTTTTATAGCTGGTAGAACGTAAGGGCTGCTGCAGCCTCTTTCTTGCCGGGACCAAAGCAAGTTTGGGTGGAGAGGGCTACACAGGACACGGCATTCCCTGCTCTCCTCTTTCTTCCTCCTAAAAACACGTTTCAGCATACGGAGACTGCATCAATGCCCTGGGACTGCATTTTCAACTGGAGGTGGGAAAACCGAGGCATTTAGCAGTGCTAGGGGAGCCCCATACAAAGCACCAGCAGTGACAGGCATCTCGAGCTGCTTCCAGCCCAAAGATGTTGTTCCCAGCGCTACAGTGGTGGGCACGTGCCTCCCTAAGCAGCAATTATTTGGGGAGACAGATAACACAGGAAAAGCCAGCTCATCCGTCGGATTCCTTGTCCTCCCAGGGGTGCAGTGGGTGATCTACATCAACACCAGCGCAAAATCCTGGCAACGCTGCTCAGTTCCAGCAAGTTTCATCACGGTGGGAATCTCCAAGGAGCGCTGACTCAACAGGCAAAGGTCTCTCTGCTTCAGGTGGCACCTCTTGCCCGCAGCCCGGCAGAGCCCAGCAAGTGTTTGACTCATGAGGCGTTCACACCTGACGGCAGCTTGAAACGAAAGATGTTTCACCGAAAGATGTTTCACCGAAAGATGTTTCACCGAAAGATGTTTCACCGAAAGATGTTTCACCGAAAGATGTTTCACTGCAGTTTTTCCCCTTTCCACAGCGTAACAGCTCCTACCTCTTGCTGCCAGTAATTCAGCAGCAGCAACCAGTTTAAGAGCTGAAGTTTCTAGAGTTTAAGAAAAACACCACCAGGACTACTGGATTATCTCAATGCATAAAAAAAAAAAGTGAGAGGAAGTTTCTAAGACAACCCTTTCTTCCAGGCTCCATTATCCCTCCTTCTGTAAGTTTAACACACTCCTCCCTGTTCCCCAGCCTGCCCTGCCAGCTTTGGGAGCTCCAGAGCTAGAAAATAAAGTATCGCTTCCCTGGCCAGCTTCAATCGACTTGCAGCATTTTCAGCCCCAAACACACAAGGCACGTTGTAAACTTCCTGGATTAAGGAAAAGCAAAGGAAAGGTTTTAGCGTGCCAGAATCAGCACAAAGATATCACATCCTGTCCTATGAGGAGCTGTCGTCTTTGCTGGCATTCACAGCAGGACGGCTGCTTCCTATCACATTGTCCAGCAACACCACAACAAAAAAAGCAGACGCTTCTGTTTCCTTCGAGCTGGCAGACTAGGTGTGCGAAGCACCAGCTAGGGTGGGATTTTAAAAGTGATTTAAAGAATCCCAGAGATGGCAAAAGCCCCAGGGAAGTCACATCCTTTTCTGGCTCCTCCAGTGCTGTTGGAGTGCAAAAAGAAGCCGCCCAGCCTACAGCCGAGAGCTCGTTTGCCATACGGCAGAGGCGCGGGGCCGCCCAGCGAGGAGTGGGGACAGCTGGGGCCACATCCAGTCTCCCGTCCCCAGGACTGAAGACGACACGATTAAACCAACGAGTGTGAGTATTAATGATTTCCTGCTACGCAGTTACTCTTCATGCTGGATTCTAGCACCTCTGATGAATGAGCAAGGCAGGTCAGGAAGGTTAGTCAACCTTCCTAGAAAATGCTCTCATAGCCACTTGAATCACTATTGCATCCATAGGCAGCAATTTTGTACTGGAAAGTTATGTCCGCTCTCTACCCCTCTTCTAATCTCACGTGCCAGAGATAAGTCACGACACAACCATGGGAATGAAAGCTGAGCACGGGCTGTGAGAGTCCAAGAAAGGAGACAGTTGCCACACAATCTGCTAGCTCGCTGCCAATGGCTGGTTCACCTCCCAGAGCCACTCTTGCTACATCACTGTTTTAAATTTGGTGGCACAGATGTTTTGCTCGGGAAGGTGACACGCTGACCCCTTGCTGCCTTGGTCTTCTGGAATATGCTGTACGTTAGAAAAGTTCACAGAAAGGAAATATGGCAAAGGACCCTCTTCAATGAAATCTCCAAGCACCATAAAAAAATACCATAACCATTCACATCTCTTGACAAGCAGGGAAACTGAGGAAAGGACAAGAACTGGCACCTCATTAAATCTCACTGAGTTGAAGAGACAGGAATAAAGAGAGTCTTCTAAGAACAAAAATCCCATCCCTTAGGCAAGCCAGCCTCTTCAAGTTGAAACACTTTGCTGTCAGCAATTCCAACACACCGAATTTGCTTTCTTGGCAACCCGGCTTCTAAGAGCTCTGGGCTGATCAGACAAGCGACTATTTTCTACTGAGGTCCCCAGAAAGTACATGAGGCAGCAACAGAGACTCAAAAGCTGTTTGAGCTGCCTCACGTGGGTTCACAAGGAAACGCATCCAGAGGGACTTCTCTGCAAGATAAAGCCAAGGCAGCAACTGTCAGGTGGAGACCTGGGCTTCAGAGGACTTTGGGAGAGAAAAAGCCAAGACAGGTCAAGACAAGCTTTTAAACGGCTGCTAACTCTCCTTTGACACAGAAGACCATTTCACTTCAGTCTCAGCCAGAAAGGCCAGCTTTAAGTGAAGTTTCAGAACAATCTATATTCTTCTGACAACTGGTAATTAACGTATCTCACTCAGAGTGATTTGGGTACTGCTTGTACTACGTCAGAGTGGAAGGATGTAATTAACTGCCTTTTGACTTCACCTCTTTCTAGAAAGATGTTTGTAAACAGATTCAGAAGGGGACCAGTCATCAGGTAGGTAACTCTGCTGGACGCAGAGCTGGCTGGCAGTTCGATGGTATCGAAGTATAATGAAACCTACACCTGGAACCAAACCAAATCACCTTCTGGTGGTCACTTCTTGGGAAGGAAAGTTTACTCCAGCCTCTCTGTTTCTGTCTCTGCCCTATACACAAAAGTCTGAAGGTCTCAACGTTGTTTTATTCCCGCTGACTGTTTAATGGAAAGGGAAATCCCCACAGTATCTGATCCCCGTTAAACATCATCAGTGAATAAACACATAATAATACACAACGAAAAACAACCTATGCTGAAATGTTTGCGTTTCATTATTCAGACCAACTTTGCAAACAAAGAGTCAAAGCAAAAACACAAATCAAACTTCCAGCAGATAAAGGGGGCGGAATTACGACTGTCTCCGCATTATTCACTCTGCTCACACTGATTTTGCTCAGAGAGGTGAGTCTCCTCCTCCCTTCCTTCCATCATAACTGGATACTCTCGGATGGGGAAGGACAATTACTCATCCTGTATCGTAACCTCAGGTGTCCCAGTGCAATCCAGGAAGGCTGTGACAGCAAACCTCTGGCCCCTCTATCACACAAAAATTGCAGGATGATATTTGAGGGGGGTAGTTATTCTCAACTCTCTGTGATGATACGACTGCTGCTCTGATGTTACCCTTTTGTCTGATTTTGCAGGACAAACAAGAAGAGTACCGAAACCTTTTATTATCCTATCAGCATTAAATATCGCCGTCTTGAGACCAGCAGGTCTAGCTTTAACACACACCTGGCGTAAACAGAAATGTGTGTCATCTGGTGAGAAGGAGCTCGAGAGAGGTGGACTCAGGAACAAGATGGAGCAGACAAGCCTGAGCAGTCGGACGCAACACGTTACCTGCATGTTTGTTACGCCTGTGGCTGATCCGGGGGGTGGACGACCCGTTTCCTCGTGGCAGGAAGAGAGCTGCGCCTTTCACCGTGAGGAAGCTTTCGCTGATGCTGCAAGGGGAGAGATGAACAGTGAATAAGGAAAACTGTATCGTCTTTAAAAGGAGAAAGTCAATGGAAGAAGAAAGGTTCGAGGCACTGGATGCATGGTCTGTTCTGCAAGGAAGCGATTTAGACTGAATTATTCTGTTGGTAAGAGAACTGCCCCCTCCATGTAAGTACTGCAAACAATCAAAGCAGAACTGAGAATATGAAGAGAGAAACACTGAAAAGCAGAACACAGGCCTGGTGCCGCTCCACCTGCAGAGGCAGAACCTGAGCAGGCAGAGGGGATTAAGCTATCGCTATATTTTCCATTTGAAAGTCAAGATGAGAGATCCACATTTCTAAATGGCGATTAATGCGGCAAGCCCACACGTCTCTATAATTACAGACTCTGTTAACCTTGTGCTTTGTGGTTCAGACACAGTCAATGCCCTGCAGAAACAAATGTCTCCCTTCAGCAGTTAGCCAAAAGAAAATTAGTGTACATAACAGATTAAGAAATCACGAAACTACTGTCTGTGAGTCGTACGATAATTAACTCTCAAAGACTCACAAATTAAAAGCAAAACTATCACGCTCTTGAATTCAGACATCGTCTACTGCCTTGATTTTGCCCGTTCTGAAGTCACATGAGGAGAGAGGTTTGTGGAAAGGGGCCATAAAAAGGTCTCAAGTTCTGTGGAACAGCCGATATTTTAAGCACATCTTCCAGCAGTTTTCTTAGAGATGCCGTGGCTCACGGAAAAAGCACGGCACACATCAGATTTTGCAATTAAGCCATCCTGTTGCATATTTCAGGGTTCCTGCCTTCCTCAAAATTGATAAGATAGTCACACAGGCTTTGAAGAAAGCCAGAAACAATTCTACAGTCAACAGGATGGTTGATGAGTACGATAAGACAGGATGGGAGAGTCCTTGGCATCGTGCGCCTCAGCGGCTCCGTGCCTTCAGAAAGATGTTGGCTTGCTCTCTTCAACTGAACAAGAGACAAGGAACTTCTTGGTTCCTTTCTCTGCTTAAACAAATACCAAAACAGTTATTTATCCCTTCCTTTAAGGACCAGGAAATAACAACAGAGCAAAAAAAACCCCCAATACATCTGAAGAAATTCCATGTGATGAGACGCAGGTGAACGCTAGAAAGTGCCAAATCCCCTCGGTCACAGCTTCTCGAGCTCTGGGGAAGCAGCGACGGCCGGCGGCTGCCTCAGCCCCGGCTCCGGGGACGCGCCTCAGCAGAGGCTCAAAGGCAGGCGCACGCCGAGGCACGGCTGAAGAGAAACCAAACGTGACCAAGGACCAGGACATAGCATGGCATGAACCTGTGATGTTCCAGTTTCATGATTTGAGGTTGACCGCTTTAGCACCGGGCTTTGTCGACTACGTTTTTAGAGGTATAAGAATTGTAAAAGCTTGTGTTAAAATTGGTTTTCCCCCTAACCTCAAGTACACTTCTGGGCACCTCTCCATTTTGCTGGTGGGGATATGGAAAAAAATCAAGTTTTCTGGGCTCCAGCAAAGCAGATGCACACACTCAGAAAGTCCTCCTTTTTCAAGCCTCCATCCCAATATTTGGACTGTACTGCCTGTCATAATCTCAGCACTTCTCCTTACTGACAAAGTTTCTTCCAGGATCATTTTCTAAAATTAAACTAGATGTCAAACACGCATGGGATGTTTCAACAAAACCAGAATTTTGAAAAGGAAAAAAAAAAAAAAATCACTAATCCAAAATTAAAATGGATCAGAGATCTTTACCTATGCTGAAGTTGAGAACAAAAAGAATTAACTTCATTGGGCACACTGAGCACGTGTTTCCTCAGACCTTTCTCCTATTAAAAAACTGAGTGAGCCTTTCTTGCTTTTGGTAACAAATAGATCCTCTGATAACCCTCAAGCTACACGGTTTCTTAAAGCCAGAACTAGAGAAACAGAGTTTTTCTGAAGCCACTGACTTCAAATAAATAAATAATCACATTTCTCCTTCTCTTAACTTGAACATATCTCGATTCAGCAGTGCCCTGAAGAATATTCTCACTCAGATTCCAGCAGTAAAGAAAATCTTGTGAGATTTTCCATCCTGCCCAAATAGACCCAGCCTTGACCTTTCCCCAAAGCAGCGTATTTTAGGCCAAGATCACCTCTGGATACTGCCTCTCCTCAGGAGAGAGGTCTCCTGCAGGACAGCAACAGCAAGTCCCACTCTGAGATGGTTCAGAAACATAAAACAAGGAGAAAATGTGTGTGTAAAAGGCAATTGGAGGCTCAAAACATCTCTCCCCATGCTCACGGTAACAGCAGGACCACACTGCCATCCACTATCGACCTTCCCCGCTGACAGCTCAATGGCTTCCAAGTGTAACCTGGGCTTTGAAGTACTTCATAAAATCTGGTTTTTCGGAGCCTACTGAGGCCTCAGTGCTCTTGGAAACAACCTCCTGGAAACGGACTGGGTATTAAAAGACACTAAACGTGGTTAGAGGAGAAGTTGAGTCCAGGAGGGCAGAAGACAGGGAGCCAACTTGGCAGAGGTAACAAAGTCAAGTTGTGTTTTATCAGCACGCCGGGCTCATCATGAGCCCTCGGTACTACACAGAGGTTATGTGTCGCCTGATCTAGTTGAGAGGTGTCCCTGCCCATGGCAGGGAGGTTGGATTAAATGATCTCTAAGGTCCCTTCCAGCCTAGGCCAGTCTATGATTCGGTCAGAGGAGACTTAGGTGGGACATATCTGTGATGAAGTTATGAAAGCTATAAGCAACCCTCAGCACTACAGCTGTGAAATAAGCTTCTGTTCCATGTTTAGCCTGTTCACCTCCGAAGAAGCAACTTTAAGGCCACCAGTGATGTGCTATTTGAATTTCATTGCTCACTGGGAAGAGAACCAACATAAGCAGAAGACTTAAACAACTCCTACAGAAATTACGACTTGTACCATTTTTTCTCTCAGGCAGAAAAGATTTTGTAGAAATTGTACAAGGCGTATAATCAGAACTATTTAAAGCCTTTTGCACAAAAAGCACAGACATTCCCCTCAGAAGACCCAGTTTCTAAATAGCACTAACAGCACGAAACAGAAACGATTCCCGTACTCCCCGACTTGCTGCCCAGTGGCTGAGCTCCTTGTGCACCAGGAAAAAGCTGCACGGTCCGTATCAGATCCTCATTATGCTACAAAATCAGGGAACTATATAAAATCTACAGATGGCAAACAAATAGCAAATGCCTTCCCAGCTGTTACCTTGCACAGCTCTGTTCCTAAATCCCAAGCACGAACACCAAATAAACTGTTTGGAAGACACAAAAGAGAAAACGTTACTGGTTTGTGGACTGTGCCAAAGCGCTGTGATAATGTGAACCGTCCAACACTTTGCCATGACCCCCCTACGACACCTTCCATCTGAGGCTGCTCGTCCGGAGTGCTGCACCACCAGCCAGGAGGTCAGTGAATCTGCACCACCCACCAGTTTTCAATGAAATATTCGCAGTCCTCAGTGTAAAATACTCAGAAAGGAATCCTGTAGTCTTCACAGAATCATAGAATCTTCTTTAGAAATCATTTCATAAAGAGAGAAAACCTTTTTAGAAGTGAAGCAAGGAATGCAAAGAGGCCCCTGAACAGCTTCTGGCCATGTTTTATCCTAATAAACACTTAATTAAGCTACTGTGAGCCTGAGGATGAGTTTCCAGTCACCTCTACTTTCTCATTGGAGAAGTTCCTTTGCAGCAGGCTCTGTCCTGTCCAGCCCGGCCTTTAATGGGGCACTTGCCAAGTCACACAATCAACAGAGCTGGTCCCCTGAGGAGTTCAGCCTCACAAAGACAAGAAGCTGCCTGGCAGGACTGTGCACCACCAGGAAGGGCTTTGAGCTTCCAACCCATCTGCAGGACGTACCCTTCCCCTCCAGCAGCCGGTTAGGCCAAAGGCAAATAAAAGCAAAGAAGAAACATTGATCAAAAGCAAGCAGGCAACTCCGACAGTGAGGAATGACACAGGATAACCCTGGGGCTGGTGGACTGGGAGCATCCAGCAGCCCAAGACCCAAAAAGGGAAGGGTCAAACACAGACACCTGCACTGAAGCGCTGGGGATCGCAGCTGGGAGCCTGCTCTCCCAAACGCTGCTCACACACGTGGTGAAAGGCAGCCCTTGGCTGAAGAACTAGCAAATAAACAGGCCTAGGCCAGGGAAAAGAACCACTTCATTCTTGGGAAGTGAAAGAGAATAAAATCTTGTGTGCCCAGGTTTTAAGCCAGGTTGCTCCCTCAAGAGCCCCCAAGGGCAGCCAGAGCGTGCTGAGGGGCAAGTGCCCGTCTGCATCACCCATGAGCTCAGCTCCACCGCCCTCCTTTAATCCACAGGCTCCCAAACACAAAACCAAGAAAAAGAACAACATTCAGACGCTGGCAGGAGCGGAGTAGCTCAGGCGTCAACACTTAGCTCATTCCCAAGGCCGCGGAGGCAGGGCAGCCGGGGACACGACAGCGAGCTCTTGCAGCACGCCAGGACTCACCCTGCAAGACGAGCAATTCCAAACCCAGCTTGCTGGGCCTGCTGCGGAAAAAGTTACCGGAGGGCAGGCCAAGCAGCCATTTTTCTCAGCACCTCAAGCTGCTTTCTTCCCTCCTCCTGCTCCCTTTCCCAAACCGGCCATTTCCCTTCCTCCGCAGGGGCACGGCATCACACCTCCAGCCTTCCCCACACTTTATCTGGCCACAAGAAATGTGCATCGGTCCCGAAGCCCAGGGTGTAGCGGCTGAGGTAGGGGCAGCCTGGCAGCCACGAGCATTTCTCCATCAAAATATCAGCCCAGAGCTCCGCACCCCTCCAGCATCCCACCCAGAGCAGCACGCACCTCCTTCACCTTCACGGTAGTTTGTTTCTTCAACAAAAACCACCCCTATTTCCCTTGCTTACTTTTTAAAGCACCTAGTTTAATAACTGCCGGCAGCGTTAATGAATTATACGGAGCAGAGCAACGCTTGCCTTCCAGTTTCAGTGATGAGGG